CACTGAATGTTGCTGAAACAGTTTTATATAAATAGGCAAAAAAGCCAATAATTTACTTTCAGGTACAGTAACATTTTCGGGGACTTCAATGATTTTAGGTGGTCCGACAGGTCCTCTAGGAAGTAGTGGCGTTGAAACTTTCTCAAGATCTTCACTGACACTTTCGGAACGCATGTCCACACTTCCACGCCTCTGTAAAAAATATTATAATCAGCTACCTAACAGCAAATACCACAAGCCCAAAGATTCAAGAAACAGTTGGCATGCATTGCAGTGTACACCAAGAATTCCATTCCTCCTTTCAGCCTAACACCAAAAGACCGCTAGATCTAGAGACCAAAACCAACTGGAAAATTATTCTTCTAAACATAGTGTTGAGGTTCAGACCAGATCTCAAGCATGGGAAGGTGCTCGTCCATGAATTGCATTCCAATTATATCATTCGGCTCTACAGGTTATAACAGCGTGCGGGAATAATGCATGAGCCAGAATTCTGAGCTTAACCGTTTTTGGAAAAAAGGCATGGCATGTACCCAACTATATTATTTGGATAGGGTGAATTCATTGTACGTCACACTCTATACTACGTTTAAATAAACCAACAACAGTTGCCTGAGGTGGTTCATCTAGAAAGAAATCGAAAAGGAAAATTAAAACAGGCAAATGCAAAAAAGCGATAAACCAGCACACAAAGAAGACAGGGTTTCAAGAAAAGTTATGAAAGATGAATGGAAAGATTGTTAAGTGAAGTGACAACGGCAGGAGAAGAACAGGCTGGAAAACGATGGAAGAAGGGTAAGCATTCCAAGCTTACAACAAGAGATCCTTTTCGAGACTGGTCAAAAGTGGATCCTCGACGGACGAATTGAGCGTCGATGGTGCCTCGACGACTTTGTGATGGTGTACCACCGGGAGATGATTCGTTACCATCATCTCGGCGGACTTTCTTCAGTTTTATGCCTTCCAAAGGGTTTTCTGATTTATTCCCAACCTGCTTCCCTCGCAGTAATGCTGCTTTATCATCTTTCATCTCAGTTTCGGCCCTTTTTCTCAATTTTTCTTGTACCATCTTTTCTGGCTAAACATGGGATGTAGAAGAAAGAAAAAAAAGTTAAGACGTAGAGTATTAATGAAAACAGAGCAAATACTTCGCTTACCCTAGCTGGTCCTTCAATCTCGCCAGGTCGAGACCCACTACCAGACCGTTTTAACCCGATTTGCTCGTTTTGCTAAAAAAAATTTCAAATTAATATTACAACCAACATGTCCTAATTTAAAATCGTTTCGTTAAACATAGCTGGACCATATCACGATACATCAAATCGTTGCCCAATTCATTCTTAAAACAAGAAAAAAAAAAAAAGCAAGAATGAAAAAACCGTTGTTATACAGCAGTTTGACCTAAAACTGCTTTACCTCCGCATTTTATTGTTTTCCACTTGGCTAACAACTAACCCGCCTCATCTTAAATTTTTAAACAAGTAACCAACAGGACATTAGAACATTTACACATCAAATGCTAGATAAACAACGCTCAGACTGAACTAAACAGTAAAAATCTCACATTAAAAATCGTTAAACGAAGAAAACGTTTAATTAGAGTAAGAACAAAACGTTATTATTATTATTATTATTATTATTA